GTTAACAGGGACCCCCACTTTTCAGCCCCAGTTAACCCCCTCAACCCTGAAAAGTGCATTGGAGATCATTTTTTTAGCTTTTTCTGTTTTTTTTTTTTTTTCCCTGTTTTAGTTTTGGTCAAGGTCTGTGTGTGCCAAGTTTGGTGTTTGTTGGGGTCTTGGAGATGACTGTTTTGGCCAGCCCTGAAAATCCTGAAAAACTGAAAAGAGCGAATTTTGCATGAAAACACACTTTTGACCCCCACTTTTTAGCCCCAGGTTAAACCACCAGTACTTGGGCCATCTATCGGCCGCAGAAAAAAAAAAATAGAGTAGAAACGTTTCTAGTTGGATGAATTTGGGCGCTCCTGTAGTGGCCCGTACGTTTCCTAAACTGGTGGCGTGTTAACGGGCACGACTTTAGGAAGTACTGTTGGTTTAACACCCCCAACACTGAAAAGTATTTTTTTTTTTTTTTTTGCCCTGTTTTATTTTCGGTCATGGTCTGCGTGTACCAAGTTTGGTGTTTCTTGGGGTTTTGGAGACGACTGTTTTGGCCAGCCCTGAAGATCCTGAAAAACTGAAAAAAGAGCGGATTTTCTTGAGGCAGGCATCCATGACCTCATCTACAGTTATACTTCTGTATCATTCACGCACAAGGGAGGTACACAGGTCGACTCTCCTTCCCGAGTAGTGCTACCGTCTTCACCCGAATAGAACGCCCGGTCATTACCCCTGTATCTAGTGCTAAAGTTGCATCAAATGTAGAACGCCCAGTCATTATCACCGTATCTAGTCCGAAAGTTGCACCAAATACGCAGGTATAATGACTGGGAATTCTATGCTAGTTAAAAACTTGAAACTTTGCAAAACTGATTCTGGGGCTGGGATTAGGAAGCTCTCTGGAGTTCAGGCTTCTTTCTGTATGGCTCACCTTTGCTGCATTGTCATTGAGCTGTCTAATGAGCTGCACATTTCGCGTTAGATTCTCTGGGAGCCGCATTTCATGGTTGTGATTAATCTCTGTGATTAATAAACGGTTCTGATCAAGTATATCCTGAACAACCTTGAACTTTTCATACCCAGGCCACATCGCCACATCCGACGGTGGTCCAGACGACGTAGTGGTCGTCTCCATCATTCTTGCCCACCACTAATCCTCTTCACAAATCCACTACACCTTTTCTCAACCACTTTGTCCTTCCCGTTCTTCCTCCTGCCCCCTCCTCCTCCTCCTCCTCCTCCTCCTCCTCTTCCC